CCCGACCCCTAAACACTGGCCGATTGGCACACTTTGCCCCTCGTTTGGTGTCCAGATTCCAGTGACCATGCCCCATGAGCATCTCTATACGAAGGAGGCGAGTGTCCCCTGTCTGCTGCCTTTCCGCGTCCTTCTCCTCTCTTTCCCACCTAGCTGTGTATCTGATCTCCCGCTGATGAGGGAGGTGCCTCGGGCGTTAATACAATATCCAGCATTGTGGCTCTCGTTTGATGTGCCTTGTCCCTCTGCATACACAAGCTAAATAAAATGAGGAGTGTTTGGGGGTTTTTTTCCCATAAGATTTCATTTTCCAGATAAGTTCAGAGGCCTGCTGGAGGTCCCCAGAGCCCAGGCCTCCAAAATCTCTGACCTGTAGAGGGACCTTGTCTTGTTTTGTTTCCGGAATGTTAGCTACTCAGCACTTGTCCCACTCAACCTCTGCGCCCGCTCCACCAAACCCAGTGGGAAGCCACCTCACCAGCCACACCCGGTAAATAGGTCCTCAAAGCAAAGAAACCAAAGTCCTGCCATCAGGCTGATTCCAACTCACTATGACCCTATAGGACAGAGCAGAACTGCCTGGTAGGGCTTCTGAGATGACAAGTCTTTAGGGGGGAGTAGACAGCCTTACCTTTTTTCCCCCCTCAGGTCACTGGTGGATTTGAACCTCAGACCACGTGGCTAGCTAGCAGCCCCATGCTTATCCTTCACATCATGAGGGCTCCTTAAATGAGTCATCACAGCCTGCTAACTCTTACTTGACACCCTTGGTCTGAGCCATGCCTATGACTCAGTGTTTTCCCAGTCACCGGCTGTTTCCAACTCCTCTCTGGCCTCTGCATTGCCACCAGAAAGCGCACAGCTCACAGCCTTCTTTTGCTTAGGGATCTTGGCGAACAACTGGTTCATAGCATCAAGCCCATGCAGCCCGGCTCAGTGCACAGAGGCTTTCAGAGCCACAGCTGAGCCCAATGCCCTGCTCTATCCGGGCCGTCTCCCTGCAGTCCTGCCATGGTGTACCTTCCACGTGTGCTCCATGTGCTTGGGAACTCTACTCCTCCAGCAAGGTCTTGCCCCGCTGCATTACATCTATAGTGAACCAGCTTGGGTCATTCCCTCCCCCTCCTGGAGTTTCGCCCTCTGCTGTGTGCTCGGCCAGGTGCATTGGCAGCACTTACCACGGTGTGTGGCTTTGTTTTGATAGCACCCACCTTAACCCCTACCGTCGGAGTCAGTTCCAACTCGTGGTAACCCAAAGGGAAAAAGTAAAACTGCTCCATAGAGTTTTCAAGGCTGTCAACCCACGTGCAAGCATCAGGCGGTGGAGAGAATACTCCGCAGGCTGGGAGACCATGAAAGGGGAAAACTTGTTCTGGCCGAGCAAGGGGACTGCCCCATTGTCTTAGCCTCCTCGGGCAGCCACAGAAAGCACCCTAAAGCGGGCGGTAGCTTTTAAGATCAGCAGTGGGTGATCCCAAGGTGAGAACGCCAAATCCAAGGACCAGCTACGTCTGTCCTTGTGCGGGCTCTGAGAGAGACGCTGTTCCTTGCCCCTTTTCTAGTTTCTGCTGACGCGGGCGTCCATCGTCGCATGACACCTGCCTTCTCTCCAGGTGACTCTGGCCCCCTGACGGCTTTCCCTGCCGGTAAGACAGGGCTCAGATCAGGACCATCCTACTGGGGTGTGCCTGGTTTCTATTAGCTAGTAAGAAAAACCTTATTCCCACCCTGGATTGCATTCATAGATACAGGGCTTCGCACTTCAGCATATCTTTTCTGGACTATAGTTCAGCCCCTAACACCGGCAGAAGGCTCCTTGGCACAGAAGAGGAGAACTGTGACAGAGGGAGGGTGACCAGGGGCCTGGCTGGGAAAACCTGGCCTGCCTTCCGCACCAGGCAGGTGCGCTAACAGCAGCCATAGGATTGAATGCAGGATCTGCTCACAGGGGAGAGACATGTGAGACTCTAGTGCAAATGAAAGCACTTGAGTACTACTGAGAACCGCAGAGAGGAGCCAGGGTGATGCTGCCCCTGAGAGGCCCAGGCCTTTTAGAACACTCCCGAGGGAGAGGGAGATGGCTGGAGGGAGCCGGGCGATGGACTCCACAGTGTGGTGGTCTTCTGGAGCCCCCAGGAAAAAAAGGTGTCCTTTATTTGGTTCCAAGAGGGTCTGCAATGCAGAGGCCATGGGAGCCAGCATGATGTCACCGCTACAGCCCTGGGAGGCGCTGGCCTTACACCCGGCCACCCCTTTGTACAATCACAGTGGCTTCTTGTATCCAACTCCGCCATTTCTCATTCCAAACTACAGCCTTCCTTTACTATCACTGTCCATTTTAATGCTTCTCACACTCTTGTACCAAGTATGAAATAGTCAATCCCAAAATAGACCGCAGCGTCATAGGATAATAAGGCTAGCTTTGTTCCATGAGGATAGAATTTCTATAATTTCACTACACATCAGGGGCGGTGTCTTTTGTGAACAGCACTAAGTTTGGGAAGAGTTTAATTGCTTTGATTTCAGTAATTAGAAATAGCATCATTGAAAAGGAATTAGGGTCTGTTGTTTTCCAAATGATTTCCCTAGCTGTGAAGTGCTGGAGACATACCTGATCCTTGGGTGGATTCATCACTGACAGATGTTTATTAAAATGTTGTTATAGTCAGAGTTCTGTGCCCATGGGGCTGACAGAACTAAAGAAGATGCCTCTTTGAGGTTTACAGTCTAAGAAATAAGAGGAGCTTACTGCCCTAAGGATGATAGGCTAGCGTGCCCCCCCCCCCCCAGTAGCAGTACAGACTTATGGTATGGATGGACATATGTGTTTGGATTTGCTAGTGTGCCCCATGGCGCCTTTCTGCCTGTCAGTGGGGTGGAGTGGGTTCTGGGGAGCTTGGCGCTTAGGAATGAAAAAGAGCACGTGGCTGGACGTGGAAGGCTGATGTCCACTGTAGGTCTAGACTTCTCCATGGAGAGGGCATCCTCCCTTACTTAGCCGTGAGACCAGCTCCAAGTCCAACATCAGCTGAAAGGCCTAGAAAAGCACGGGACTTGCATATTGTAAAACATGCTCTGCATTGGGGGCCAGGGAGGAATGTGGAAGATGATAGTTCAGAGGTCAGGTGCTTAGTGGTTGGTGCAAATCTGTATCAGGGAAAGGCATGAGGTGCGAAAGGAACGAAGACAGAAGCCGCTGATTGAAGGTCTTCAGCCGGCTCGGGCCCAGGTTTGGTGGGTGTGTGCCAAAGATGGACGCCAGATGTGCTGAGTAGCCAGCATCTGGGGCACAGAACAACACATGGCAACGGGAGGCCACATCACCTGGAGGCCTAGAGGGGGCCTCAGGATGTACCTGACAATGAAACCGCATGATGAAAAGGTGTCTCATTTGGACTGTGTATGCAGAGGGACCAGAGAAAGTCACACCTCTGGTTCTATCATTATGTCATCCCTCCCAACCAGTGCTTCCCAACGTGGGCGATACTGCCTCCTGGGGTCCCCTGGAATGATCCAGAAGGGGCTGCAAAAGCAGATACGTACCCTTTGTCCTCGATTACTGGCTAGAGTTGAAAAGTTTTTC